CGAGCTAGTCCGGGACCGTCTAGTTCGCCTGCTGGCGAACAAAGCCAGGTTGGCTTAGTTCGCCAGCAGGCGAACGAGTTGGTGAGCCTCTAGTTCGCCTGCTGGTCACGACTAGTTCGCGTTTTGTGGCTGTTTCGGTTTTTCGCGGTTTTGTAAAACGATTTCTCGAGTTTTATAAAACGATCTTCGAGTTTTATAAAACGGCTTCTTGAGTTTTATAAAAGAATCTTCGAGTTTTATAAAACGGCTTCTCGAGTTTTATAAAACGATCTTCGAGTTTTATAAAACGATCTTCAAGTTTTATAAAACGGCTTCTCGAGTTTTATAAAACGATCTTCGAGTTTTATAAAATGATCTTTGAGTTTTATAAAAAGACTTCTCGAGTTTTATAAAACGATCATCGAGTTTTATAAAATGATCTTCGAGTTTTATAAAACGGCTTCTCGAGTTTTATAAAACGATCTTCGAGTTTTATAAAACGGCTTCTCGAGTTTTATAAAACGATCTCGAGTTTTATAAAACGATCTTTGAGTTTTATAAAACGGCTTCTCGAGTTTTATAAAACGATCTTCGAGTTTTATAAAACGGCTTCTCGAGTTTTATAAAACGATCTTCGAGTTTTATAAAACGATCTTCGAGTTTTATTAAACGGCTTCTCGAGTTTTATAAAACGGCTTCTCGAGTTTTATAAAACGATCTTCAAGTTTTATAAAACGGCTTCTCGAGTTTTATAAAATGGCTTCTCGAGTTTTATAAAACGATCCGCGAGTTTTATAAATGACGACTTCGAGTTTTATAAAACGACTTCTCGGGTTTTATAAAACTATTCCTTTTGGAGTTTTTGCGGGGAATTTTGGCTATTGATTCCGTCATACCGATTTTGACCCCAACAAGAACCAAAGAACCGATCCACACTTCTTTAAACTAGAACATGTTTTGGGTATAACCGGATGAAATATTCACACTGACCTATACACTTGAGAATTATTATACGTATATTGGATAGTGCCTAAATTGTCAAAAATATTTAAAATTAACATAAAAGTGTCATGGCTCTTTCAATCTTAAGTTCAGCACTGCTCTAAACAAATAAAAAATTGTAACGTTGAGATTACTGACAGAATTTTGCAAACACTAAACAGAACCAAATGCGAGGACTCATGAGAGTAGGCTTACGCATTTAATATCATACCCAGAGATTTATGAAAAACAAAATAGTTACGGTCTGGTGATAAGAGAACCCATACATATATATTTTAGATGGTTTGGACTTTGGAGGCAAATCTATACATACTAGAACTTGTTTGGTTGAGCATTAGCATAAGTATTATGTTCATTATTATCCAATCAACATTTATAAAAAAAAACATTTACAAGATGGTAATGCTAATTCTAATGCTCTCATATAAGGCTCTTAGAAGAGTATTTGTAATTAGAATATATAAAAATTTAAAATCATTATATATAAACTTTTTTTTTAATAATATCAAAAAAAAAAATTTATAATAAAATAAATTTAAAAATAAATTGCAATTAAATATTTTTAACTTAAAAACAATAATTCACATTTAAATATAATATAATTTATATGATTACACATATCATTCATTATTTTTAATAACAAAACATAATTTAATATATATTTATATATTATATATATAAATATATCTATATAATATCAATATAAATAAATTATATCATAATTTATAGAAAATGATATATAATTTATTTATTTCATTTAATAATGTTAAAATTATTTTTATATCCAAAATTAAAATTATATTTTTAAAATAAGTTAAAATTTTTTTAAATATTAATATTTCACATTAAAATTATAAATTAATTAATATAATTGAAAAAGATTCATCATTTTTATTAAAAAAATATATTGTTAATATATATTATAAATCTATACTATTTTAAAATAAATATCTTATAAACTAATTTTTATGATAATTATAAAATTGTATACTCCTGTTCTACCAATCACTTTATTAAAAATTTTGTGATAGCTTACAGCTTCTGCAACATACTGCTTCTGTAGCATACTGCTTCTATAGCATACTGCAACCACTTTATCATATGTTGTACTATTCCAGGTCTAAGCCTTTTAGATTTGGGATCAGTTTATATGATTCATTCATTTTCTTCGGTCAAATGTCTTCTATTATATAAGGTAAAATTATACATTTGATATATGATTATTTGGTTTTCAGAATCATCTGTTTGGACAACTAAATATTTTATATGGTCTGGATATAATTTTAATTATATATATTAAACATTTAAAATTTATAGGCTAATAGGATATTTTGTTTCATTACCCTCTTGTCAACGTTCATCGATCTCTCCATCTCCGGTGACCTTTTCCTTGTGTACATTATTGAGATCGATTTGCTCAGTGCCGAGAGTTATACTTTCATGGGATTGGCCCGTTAAGAAGGTTGAAATCAACAGCATAATCAAAGGCCACCAGAGTACAAGTTACTGATCATTGATTATTTGAGTGTGGTTTTGCTTATGGTGTTAAGGATTTCTGGTGGGTTCACCGGGATCCCTTTTGTGCGGATAGTATTATTTTATGCTTGTATGAAGTCTTTATCGGTGGGTTCACCGAGATCGGTTCTATTTTGATATTCTTCTTCTCATGTGGAATTTTTTTACACAATACCCTTTTTATGGAAATAGGGTTTCTTCGAACTCTGTTTCCGAGTGTTTGTCCAGTTTCTTCATCAGTTTGTATTCGTATGTAGTGGTTTTCTCGGGACCCGAAGAATCGAGATCACTTCGGTGATTTTCGTAGATGAAATCTGGACCTCAACGTCATTTTATGTGATGTCTAACTATGTCGGGAAGGTTCATCCAACACATCCAAACATCATTTTGAATCCGCTGTCATCTTCACTTGAAGATCTTTCATGCTTATAGCTAATTTATCTGTTTCCTTATTGTCAAAGAGGATGGATAATTCCATCTTATTATTATATTGCATAAGTTTGAGTCTGCATGAAAGTAGTTGGTGTTAACAAAAAAAAGAAGAGAACATCAATAACACTTTTCGTAATAAAAATATCCGTGAATGAGTCAAAAGAAATGGTTCGATCCTCTTTTTTTTTTTTCTCGAACCGAGAGAGGTCAAGCTGGAATCCGGCTACTTTTGCAAAGGCGTTGGGAATGTATATTTGTAAATCAGATGACATGTAGGTTAGTGATTTATGCTATTGTGACCGATGTGTCACGACAGTTGTGTTCAAGAATTTATGGAGGCTTGAGGCATTGCTAAAAAAGGTAGTTTTGAAGGATCCTTAATCTTCTATTATAATAATAGTAGAGTTTCTAAACTCCACAGCGCGCCACATCAGTAGTTTTGTGGGTTCCACGTGTATTTTTTAGAAATCCATAATCTTGGTAAGATGATTATGAACAACAAAATGCACTTTAACCAAGTGGTATAAAGTGTCTAATTAAACCTACAAGTGCGTGGGTTTAAACCACACAGCTATCATGTATTTTTGATTTGGGTTATTATTATATGGGCTTTTTATTTATAATGTTTTTATGCTTTTTTCTTTTGGGCTTATTGTTTAAAGATCAAAATAGTTGGATAAATTCTAAAGCTTAACAAATTCAAACCCAAAAACAGTTAAAAATGGATTCAAAAACGAACAACCCCAAAAAAAAAAGTCCCACGCGGTTGCCTACGCGAATGGCTTAAGAAACCTTAAAACTGACCTATTATAATATAGCTCAACCTAAAAATAATAAAAAATGGATCCAAAAACGAACAGACCAAAAAATAAAAAAAAGTGAGTCCTACGTGGATACCTACGTTGATGGCTTAAAGAGGTTTGAATAATATTGATTAGGAGTTCAAAAATTAAATCATTGCACATATTTCCTAATATATATTTTCAAAAAACTGTATATGAAATAAAATAAAAAAACAAAATTTAAGTATTTTTTCTTATTAATAAAATGAATATGTAATTTCTCTTACATTTTAATAACTACTATAATTTCATTGAAAACATTCCTCACCACCGACTCCAGACTCCGGCGAATGGATTCCCACAGTCGATGACGTCGTAGATAAAAATGCCACATCATCTATGAACAAAACCCAAACTTACAAAAACCATATATAAAAACCTATCTAATGAAACCTAAACAACAAATATTAACTTAATGAAGGTTATTTTAAAATTGATAAATTGTTTAATACAAATATTAATACTATAAACATAGAGTTATATCAAGTTTTGACCTACGATATAAAAACTATTTACAGAAAAGAAAAACTCTATGGGGAGGGGGGGCGCCGAATATATGCTCAACTGACCAACATCAATTCTTAAAATTTAACTTAGTGTAAGTATATAATTGTAACAAATATTGATTAATTGGTTAACTTTTAATTGTTTTACCCCCCTTGTTAATTATGAAATCTCCAAGACATTTTATATATTAGTTTTTGACCCACATAGATTTGGATCCTACTTCCGCCACTTAATGTACCGTAAGTATGGTCCTAGTCACTATCCAAAACCCACGTTGTTGACAAAGACAAATTTGTGAACCAAGCATCTCAATCACTCACTATGAATGGATTTGATTATTCAGAAGTTAATAAAATGTATGTACGAAAATTTATGGTTTCAACTGACACTTTTAAGGATTTTTTGAAGGAATTTTATTAAAAGTAATCATATCAACTCACCGAAAATATTTTACAATTTTATCAAAGCTCAAATCATTCTAGTACTGAATAAAAATCCCTTATTTTTGTTGCTGTTTATATTGATTCTAAATGGATTAAATAACCTTAACCACACTGATCATCAGTTCATTACTAATTGGAACCTATATTATTAAAATATAAAGCACTACACAAAACATAACAACTTCGTTATGCTAGATGAAACTACAAATATACATAAATCTTTTTTCTTTTTTTTTTGGTTGGGGGAGGAAAACAGAATAAAATTTAATGACATGAAAAACTAAGAAGGATAAATAGAAAAACGTGGACGATGAGGTTTCGGATTTTTGTGAGAAGAGGAGTGACGAAGTTGGCGTCGTTTCTCAGCAAAGCCATCACTGTTTCTCATTATCCAATATCTCTCTATCTCTTCTGGCTGTCTTCCTGGTACTCTCCCTGCTATTAAATCCCACCTAAAATCAAAAACAAAACACACAAATTATACCTCTATATATTTGTTTTTGTCAAATCGTGTTCTATTTCAGAACCAGCCAAGCCTTTATATAATTACATATTAGGTATCGACTTTAGATATGAATATATGTATATAATTTAATGAACGCGATAGCTTTAACTAAATGTTCTTAAGAAAATTAGTGGACACCATGTGCTTCCCTCTACAACATGGTATACTGTACAAGTACAACGTAAGTACATGCCTAAATTAACATATGTTAACCTGGAATTATACATCATATTAAATTATTTATCTACCAATTTATAGAATAAATTTTTCCTTGGGCCGAGAAAAATTGATGGAAAACGAGGAAGAAGAAATTGTTACCTATCACCGACAAGTCTATGCATTCGAAAGATGAGATCTTCTTCTTGTTCTGTCATATTGATAAACTCCCATTCAATACTGCTCACTTCTGCACACAGTTATATAAATCAATTAAACTATAACATATATTATATATTTACTTTAAAAACAAATATTATATATTAACAAAAAACAAATTACTTTTGTTTTTGGTTAAAACCAGTTAAACCAATCTTGTTAAAACCAATTAAACCAATCTTGCTCCGATTTTGCAGTTACTTAGCACGATGTGTTCAAGTAGTTCATACGTGAGCATTTGCGAACCCTCTAAGATAAAATTAAGGTTGATTGCAAATAGTGCTTTCAAGATGTGCAACCCATGAACAATTACGCAAAACAAGTTAAATACCATGTAAAAATAATATATAGAATAGAGAGGGGACCTTCAGAGTCATGGAGAGTGACTTTGTGTTGCTTACGACGGCGACGACGGTCGGTGTTATCCATTAATGTTGGAGCCAGTAAGAAGAAAAAGTCGAGGGAATGAAATTGAGATTTGAGGTTTAGTTGGAGAATGCAGGAAAATAAATATGTGAGGAATGAGAGTTTATAAAGAGAAGAAAAATAAGAGAGGAGGAGAGAGGGGGAGAGGAGGAAGGGTCCAACGAACAGCCTTTGCAAACTAATAGTAAGAAGTGTTGTGTGGTCTTGTTGACCTCTTAGCCTTTGTGTAGACTTGTAGTTGCCACTCTCATAAACACATTGAGATTACAAGTATATGAAGGCTAATCGTGTTCAAGTAACATATCTGTATCTCCGTTATTCATAAATATAACCTACTTTCTTTTTATAAATACTTTAAAGGGAAAATTGACAAAATAACCCTCAACTTTCGAAAATAAACCAAAAAAATCTTCAACTCACAAATAAGCCATTTTAATCTTCAACTTCTAGTCAAACACGAATAAATCTCATATTTTCGTTGACCAAGCCATTTTGATCTTCAAAATTCAATCGTTTAGTTCCGTTAGTTATATTTAACGGTTTACTTTTAATGAGCCTAAAATAGCTTGGTCAACGAAAGTTTGAGATTTTTTTTTTTAATTTAGAAGTTGAAAATTAAAATTGTTCACTTAAAAATATCTTACCTAAAAATTGCTATTTTTTTTTATTTTTTTTAACAAAAAATGTAGTTTATCATATCGATTAGAATGACAAACTTAATAAATATATTCAAATAAGCTTAGTTATAATATTTTTAAATGAATTAAAAAGAAAAAAAAATTTAGTAAAAAAAACTTGATTAAAAATACAAGTATACTGTAAATTCAGATATAAAATAAAATAATTAAGTGCTTACGTTCAAAAAAAATTAAGAATAAAAACATAAAAGTTAAAGGTAAAACCCTAAGCACATTGTTGTTAAAAGTATAATCACATATACTCAATAGAGGATGAAACAAGTGAAAATGAAGAAGTTAAGTGTGTGAAAGAGATTCCCGACAGCTAATATATATAATTTTTTTGTTTTTAATTCATCTTAAAATATTATATCTAAACTTATTTAAACATATTATTAAGTTAATGATTACAATCGATATGAAATTTTTTTTTTTGTCAGAAAAAAATAAATTTAAGTTAAGATATTTTTAAGAAAGCAATTTTAATCTTCAATTTTTAAATTAGGATAAAAATCACATATTTTCCTTGACCAAGCCATTTTAGGCTCATTAAAAGTCAACCGCTAAATATAACTAACGGAACTAAACGGTTGAACTTTGACGAGATTAAAATGGCTTGGTCAACGAAAATATGAGATTTATTCATGTTGGACTAGAAGTTAAAGATTAAAATGGCTTGTTTGTGAGTTGAAGATTTTTTTGACTTATTTTCGAAAATTGAGGATTATTTTGTCAATTTTCCCATACTTTAAATATATATTTTTGGGTTCAATTTGGCAAAGCAAGCTCCTAAATTTTATGATAATCATATGAAAATCAAGGAAACCATGATTATTATATATTGTAGTTATTTCAATTATTTATAATAATTAGTTTTAGTAATTTTAAAACTGAAATTTTAATATGATTATAAAATTTTAGATTTAAATTTAGTTAATTTCTTATAAAATAGATATTGAAAAATATAGTTCAAAAATAAAAAAAATATAATTTGAAGAAAAAATATTGAAAAATCATAAATTAGTTATTCTAATGAGTTATTAACTATAAATTGATTTAATATTATTACACGTAATGAAATAATTATGATGAAAATATGTTTACATGCAAAATATTAAGATAACATGTAATATCAAGGTTATTTTCAAATTAAATTATTCTTGATTGGAAGGGTTAGAAATTTTTACAGAAAATACTTAAATCGACCTTGAATTTAAATTGAATAAAAATACATTTATATGTATTAAAAATATGTTAATCAAAAGCATATTAATTACAACTATTATTTATATAAGATGTTTCAAGGCTACTTTTTTTTATTAAAAAAAAAGAATCTAACGAAAATAAAATTTGATTCAGCTTAGACTTGTTTTCGTAATGAACCCAATCCCGGCGAAATCAAAACCAAAAACCAAAGCCTATACATTTTCCTAGGGCTGAGCAAAAAATCCGGATCCGAAAAATCGAACCGAACCCGATCCGAAAAAGTAGTATCGAATCCGAATCAAAATTTATTCAATATCCGAATGGGTTCAAAATTTTGGTATTTAAAAAACCGAAACTGAACCCGACCCGAACGGAAGTATTTCGGGTACCCGAATATATCCGAAAGAGATTTATATATCTAAATATATTAATTATTTTTAGATTTAATGTATATAAAAACATTCAATATATATAAAATACTTTGAAATTGTTCAAAATACTTGTAAATATATGTAAATAGTCAAACATACATGTCTAAAATTGCTAAACTACACTCAAAATATCAATAATACTTAAAAAAATATTGATTCACAATCCAAATATTCAAATCAAACTAATTTATATGTTAATTTTAGGTATTTTGACTTATGTTATTCAATTATTTGTAATATATTATTTTCTTTATAGATTTTTAGAATTTAAAGTATATAAACAATTTAAAATTTTTTTAAATAATTTAGATGGGTTATCCAAACTCGAATCGAACCCGCAAAGATCCGAACCGAATCCGAACCGAAATTTGGAAATATCTGAATAGGGCTAAAATTTGTGAACTCAAAACCTGAATAGATACGAACCGAACCCGAGTGGGTACCCGAACGCCCACCCCTACATTTTCCTTTGGAATACTTAGAAAGACTAATTAATTTAATCATGTTAAATGGTTACATCATTTAATTGTATTCTTCATCCCGCATACAAGAAGTCTCATTTTCTCATAAATGCGGTTCATATATATATTTCGTTTAGAGAAATATCAAATAAGTCCACGGTGACTAAGACATTACATATTCCGCAGAATGGCAGCTCCTTTTGCTGGTGGAGTACTCATCTCCGATTTAAGGGTAAACGTACTATTTTCCCGCGAGAACTATCATATATCATCAGATATCCATCGAACTATGATCTCGTGCTAGATTTCTATGAATTGAAAGTTCCAGATTTATTTCTCCCTGAATCGATAGTTCGAAACTTAATTATCCATATACTATGATTTTTATTGGTTTATTGTTAACCATATAATTTAAACCAAATAAACACATAAATCATCTATTTTCTATCAAAAAGAAAAATGTTAATATACTATTCAAACTCCACACTATCACTATTATAAAATAAATTTTGAAGATTTTCATATTTTGAGAGATTTTGAAAACTTATTTTTTGATAAAATTAAATTCTTGTTTTGTTTTAAAGTTGTTTGGTTAACAATAAACCGGTCAAACCATTTTTTATGTGTAATTAACTTTTAAACTATTAGTTCGAGGAGAAATAGATTTCGAACTATCAATTCGGGGTGAAATAAGTTTATAACTTATAATTCGGGAAAATATGGCACGAGGTAATAGTTCGATGGATATCTGATGATATATAATAGTTTTCGTGGGAAAATAGCACGTTTATCCCCCGATTTAACTGATTATATGGAGAAACTTATCATATTTTTTCGAATATATCATATTTTTTGTTGAAAGCCCTAGAGTTTTGTATGCTTTTCGAAATTTTCAAAATCTATCTTAATTTTGAACTGGCCATTGAAATAACATATTAAATTCGCGTATGAGACATCACATACAAAGTACGCCTTTCAATAAATGTTGTTAGGAAACGCAGCAGTACTATTATAGACTCATGGCATTCATGAGGATCCCCAGTAAAATTTATCAATATGTTTTGTAAATATTTTTCAAAATTTTACTTGTGTTTTTTTCTTTATCATAAAAAATATAGATTCAACTAAGAGACTTTGTAAATCATATTGGTAATTCTGCATCCATATGAATGACATAGGACTTTTGCTTCTGAACACTGGTGCTAGACTATCTATCTTTGTATTATTCATTCGGTGTATGTATATGACTGCTGAGTAGTATTAGAAATCTAGACTTTTCAATATGTGTAAGCATATTATTTTTACTGTCAATATAATTTATTTTTTACATGAAGATGAAAATAATTAAATCTAAGTTATTTACTATATTTGGAAAATTTTGATTTTAAAAGAAATGTGAAGTTCTTGGGAATTTGTTACTGTATATTAATTCCCATCTATGATTTTCATGTTAAAACAATATTTCTTGTTTATTATATGAAATTAATCTTTTTTGAACGACATATGGAATCAATCTCACACATACAATTTTATATATATATTGAACATTCAGGTTAAATATATTGACAGGTACAACTAGTTACATGATTACATACATCTATCTGAATGTATACAAATTTTATGCCATTTGTATTTTTTTTGGTGAAATGCTACTTGTATTTATAAATTTTTATTATGCGACGCATGATTTTTCTTTTAGTCCACACACCAGTACAACCAAATTTGAGGTCATGTCACATCAAGACAAATCCTTAACCAACCGATTTTATTCATATATTATCATTGTTTCTTTATTACCCTATGTAAGACATTTTAGAATTTTGTTTCTTTCAGTGTAGTTGGTAAACAAGAATGTTACCAAGAGTAATGAAACGAAAAGAAATAAACTAAAAGAAAAGTAAAACTGTGAAAAATATATAAATAAAAATGAGGAGAAAGAAATATATTTTTTTTACATAAAACACATAATTTTACCTATATCCATTAAAGTAAGTGGAAAGCTTTTTAACCTTTTTAGCTGAAAAATAATATTTGTTATCTTAACCTGATTGTTAATAATTAAGTGGAAGAAAAAGTAAAAGAAATTACACCAAAGTATTAACACTAAAAGAGTCATCAAGTCATACCCTTAGTTCTTTTTTAATTTTTTTCATAAAAGTAATTTTTTTTATAACACCGTATTGATTTAGGAGTTCGATAATACAAAAGATGAGACAAAGGAGAAATGA